ACATTAAAAAGTCTTCACAGCATCCTCTCGTGGGAGTGAAAACTCCACTCTTTGAATCCCCTGTGTTTTGTGTTTTCCACAATGGGTAGTGCACTGCTGCCTAGACACTCCCAAGCCATCTGCCGGCAGGACCCCGGGTGATGCATGGCTGGACCTCTCAGCTACTGGTGTAAGTCACTGAACATGTATGTATATGTGTGCAATAGTACAGTATTGGAAGTGTGTCCTAGAAACTTCATTCATTGCTTTCTGTAAACAAATTGCATTTCTTCTAATTAGGCTTAATTTATGAAGATAATTAGGAGAGAATATAGCTTGACAGATTAAAGCTTTAGATATCTATGTATTTATATTTTCTCTTAATTACATATGACACGTAATTGTATATCTTCAGAGACACACACTGTCTTTCTTTCGAATATAAGTTGTTGCCAATTTTAATTCCGGTTCACATTTGTTTTTACCATGTCAGTTAATTTCTTTTTGTGGCATTAGTAAAACAAAAAACAAGACTCAAAATTTGATTTGTTTAGTAGCTTTGGTACACATCTACCACTAAATTCTAATTTCATTAATTTATATAACATTTTAAACCAACATCCAAGCTGTTGAAATGGCTTTGTTTCTGCCAGTGTTTGAATCGCCTCTGTGTGCAGTTCAGAACACTCAGCTACTTAATGATCATAAGGCTCTCAAATGCCATCTGGAAATATGAAACCTTTATCTTTTAGCTCAATTTTGCTTTCATGCATAGCAAGGCTGTAAAATCACAGTTGTGATATTTATTAACTGTCTTTGCAAAACTGTGGGTAATATATCTTTCACATTTCATTGAGAGAAAAAGAAACTCAATCCCAACAGGATCTTAATTATGAGTTCTTCCTCTAGATATTTTTCACCCTTGGGGATTTTGTGTTGCCAGATGGTTCTCTGAGGAATCTTATACCGGTCAGCATTTTATAATGAAAAACAAAAGTCTATTTTTGAGTTAGAGAATTAAATCCTATATCATGTCATCTGACTCATTAGATCCCAACTGGTTATTGTTTCATTCATACATAATATTATACAATTAGTCTCTTATATCACCGAGTACCTTCATTTCTTGGATTGTCTTGTTGGTTCCAATAGATAAACATTAATTAAACACTCAACTGTATCTTGTATTCCTCTCAATTCTATCAATTCTACCCAGATCTTTTCATTTAATAGCAGGGAAAATATAAGTGGCCTTTGTCATGTTCATTACAGAGGAAGTCATCTTTCATGGAGAAGAACTGCTGATTATTATGTCTGACTGGTGGGAAATTATTTCTCAAATTGTCCCAAATTCTCATTGTTAAACACAATGAGGATTTCAGTCTTGTAGTAGTTGCTCATATGATCATAAATCTCATAAATAGGTGAATGATTATAGCATCACATAGTCTATCAGAAATGTTCCAAATAATGTCACATCATAACAGGTGTTAATTATCATTCATATAACAGAATAAATAAAAATAATCTGCATTTGGAGTTTTCTCACCTTCATACATTGTTTAGTAGTGTCTGAAAGTGGGTTCTTTGTAAAGAAGATAGATGTCTAATTTCCCTCCTCAAATATGGAATTATTTCATTTTAGTTTTGGTAGGCATGACCAATAAGACTATGTTAGTAAAAATCTACCTCTTATCTGACCTACTTATCCATATGTTTTAATCTAATTTAATCTTGCCAATCTAGATACACTGAACAAGATGAGTTTTGCCAAACTGATCATTTCTTTTCTTCTACCTCTGGCTTTGGGCTCCAGAGTCACTCTGTCTGGAATCCATTTCCCTTTCTTCACTGTCCATTTTTGTAAATATCTGTTCTTACTTAAAATCTCTGATCAAATGCCAGTTATGAAGCTTTCTCTAAACATCTCATTCTAAACAATACACTCACATGTGCATGGACTTAGATGTACCCTCTGGCCCTCTAGTAACACACGATATATTAGCTCATTGAATGAACATTGTCTCTACTCTCTTCTCTGATCAGATTTTTCAAGGTCTTAGAAGTAAGGGTGCAGCGTCCTGGGATCCCACAGTAGGGGCTCTTCTATGTGCATTTATAAATAACTAGTTGATGGAATCAACACAAAAACATTCTTCAATTCCGAAAGATAACATTATGAATTTCCTATATGAAAATGATTATCTATTTCTGTAGTGGACTCATTTAGAATATTTAGGAAATACCTACAAAGGAAAGGATAATGAAAAGAAAGATTTCTCCATGAACAGAAAAATAGAAATTTAGCTCCTGTGACCCCTTAAAAACAAGTATCAATGAGGTGTAAAAAGAGTAGAGGCAGGTATAGAAAATCAAAATAAAAGGATTCAATATATTGCCTCAACTCTACAAACTGTGTTGGTGAGTAGCAGGGGCTTCACCAATAAGATTCTCAAAAAGTCAAGTCAAACTCATTAAAAAAAAAAAAAAGAACGAGAGAGATCTAATTTGTGTTCTGGTCTCTTTACTTAATTTAAAACAGAGCCAAGTTTTAATTTGATAATTCATCAAAACCACAAACAAATTACAAAATTGTTCATTTACAATATGTCATATTTTGCTGTGTTAATTGCTTCTTCCTTCATTTACCTACTTACTAAAAATATGCAACTTTCTGTTAAGGAGATTAAAATGATTGTACCAAGAATGTGTTTGGATGTTTGAAAGAGAGGAAACACAGTTTAAAAATTCCATAATAAAATCATTTTGGAAAACATGTGCATGAAAGACCTCTTGGAAGCATTCTTAGAATTGACTTTTTTTCTACCTACTCCATCCGGCCACAACTTTAAAAAAAGGGAGGGGGGCTGGGTGGAGTTAAGAACTCTTTTCAAATGTTAAACAATAACTGGAAATCCTGAAAAAGTATTCTTCAGCTGGGGGGTGGTTGGGGGTGGGGGAGGATTTTAAAGCTTTTTTTTCCCCTAAGAATTGTTTAGCAAGGAATTTACTCAGTAATTTCTATTTTGACCAGCAAGTTCAGTTTTAACTGCCTGAAATATAATGCCATCTGTGTTTATTTTCCCTTCTAAAACACAGTTTTTCCCCTAAAGATAGCAAATCCATGATCCTTATAACTCAGATAAATATATTAGTGAAACCAATGGTTTACTTCAATTAAATAGTGAAATTAGGTATAGATTTTGCGCATGTATCTTAGAACTGTAAATTTTGATGGTGAATATCAATCATATAAAGCATATCTTCAAATTTAACATTTTCACATATTCTGATGAGTCAGTTATTGTGTGTTCTATATTTATTTACCAAGATAGTGATGGCTATGGGGAGAGAAACTGAGATATCAGTACATCTCAACTCAGTAAATAGACTGAAATAAAATGGATCAAGAGTCAGTGGACCAAAGAACCACAGAATCACTGACTGATGGTAATGCTCTTCTCCCCGTATCTAGGATAGAGAGATTATCTGAAAATACAACTTCATTTTATCAATGGGGAAAAACTAAATTACATTAAAGACTGTGAAGTTACATACACATTATTATATATTTAGATTTGAGAGGATACATTTCTGTAAAAAAAAAGTCATTCTGTAAAAAAATGTCATTCTGAGGGAATATTCAAACATGGAGAGTTTATTTACTTTCAAGGAATGCAAAAGTTCTATTTAAAATTTACAAAATATTCATTTTGAATTTCAGCCTGATACTTCTTATGTGGCTATGAGAGTCTTCGAGTATATCCCAAAGTGTGGCTGTTTTGGGGTATTGAGTTCAGACAGACTTGACTCTATTATTTCCAGGCCCAATGAGCCCTTTAGAAGATTTCTGTAGTGCCAGGTTTTATGTTTTGGGAAATGGAGGCTGTGTTATAAGTCATCTCAACAGACATGTCCAAAAATAGCTGGGCAGGGCTGGGAAGGTGGCTCAGTGGCAGAGTGTTTGCCTTGTATGCATGAGGCCCTGGGTTCGATTCCTCAGCACCACATAAGCAGGGAAAAAAAAAGCCGGAAGCGGCGCTGTGGCTCAAGTGGTAGAGCGCTAGCCTTGAGCTGCAGGCAGGCCCAGGACCAGACCCCCCCAAAAAATAGCTGGGCACATATAATTTATTGTCTAATATTTCCTGTCCCTACTCAGCCTGCAGAGGGCACAAGTTAAGGAGAACAGAAGTCTGGGAACAGAAATGTTCCCAACTCACCATAATGTGCACTTGAAAAATGAACAGCAGAAGAGGATAGAGGTTAGACCACTCCTGCTGGACAAGAGCCACAGGCTATTCCTTCAATTGTGTGAACAGAGGAACTGACCACATGTTCACTTTTCTAGACTTGTCATCCTCAAGGCAGATCCATCCTTTGTCCTTTGTTCAGAAGCAGTATGAAAATAACTTCTTAGTTATGGAGAAATGCTAAGTACCTTCTTATGTGTATAATATATTCGCTCTTGCATGCATATGGTTTATTTATTACTTTACATTATTCATGCCTACCACTTCTTGGACTCTAAACTAATTTCCCAAAGTTGCTTTATGAAAATTATGTAAAAAAACTGATATTTGATACAGCAGCTGCTTTATTCATAAACTCTCATTTCTTGGACATCTTCTGGATGCATTAGAAGTATTAATGGATGGCAAGGTAAACTGGCTATGCATTAATATTTGTTAACAGCTAAAGTTAACTTACAAATTCTTCAACACAGAAGGCAAAACATACCATCAACAACATTGAATGATCAGTTATATGTCTACTGAAAACATTACTATAGGTGCACAACATTGAACAAAGAAAGACTACTCTTTAATCTCCCTTTAAATGCAATATATGTTCATTTTTGCATATTTTTCAAATAAGAAAGCATAACATATAGTAATGTGCATTTAAAACCTCCAGTAAAATTTTGACTCAATAATCATAAACTCTCTTGCTCACACTTTTATCTATGTTCCTTGAAAACAAAACAAAGAACATTAGTCCTTTCCCATGTGACCAGTACTCACGAGAGAACGTTCCCGATGTAGGCATAGTAGGAGCAGCAGTAGGGTGTGTGCCCATCGCAGCAATAAGAGCGACAGTCTTTGCCACACTGAGCAAGGCAATCATCTATTAAAAAAAACCCACAAGAGCAGAGATCACACCTTCTGAAAAAAAAGTGTGCGTATATCCCAATGAATCAAACAGCACTCCTTAGTACACTTACATCTTCTTCTTCAAAATATATAATATATACACATTAACATTTTGAATAATTATATCTATATGATCAACTATATATATAGTTGGTCATGGAGTTTGAACTCAGGGCCTAGGCACTGTCATTGAGATTTATTGCTCAAGGCTAGCGCTCTACCACTTTGAGCCATGGCTCCATTTCTGAGTTTTGGGTTAACCGGAGATAATCTCATGGATTTTTCTACTCGGCTGGCTTTAGAACAGCGGTTCTCAGATCTCAGGCTCCTGAGTAGCTAGGATTACAGGCATGAGCTGCCAGCGCCTGGGTCTACAATATTTTTGTAAGGGTCTAAATTGTCTGTTCTCCCCTGCTATACTCCAATCTGACGAAGACAAAGACAAGTCCTCTTGAGTCTCCTGCACAGAACAATCATGGTTAGGCAACTTTGCTTGAGTATGATGAAGAAAGGAGGAATGAGAATGTGTCCATTGATCAGCCATTCAGTTCATCCATGCAGTTCTTTTTTTTTCATTTTTATGTGAATATTTAGTATAGTTCTTACTATAGTTTTAAGTGATTAAAGTCTTCTGACTTTTAAGTATTATATTCTCAATTAACTTAGTTGGCAGAAAATGATATTGACATAGGAGATACCTAACTGATTAAAATTAGTGTGTGTATTTACCATGTTAATGCGTTTTTGTTTTCCTTTTATACAGTTTTTAATCTTCATAATTACAGTTTACATACATAGAGGATAACATAAATGAGTCTTCATTCTGTCAGAACATTGGGCTTAAAAGATGATGAGCTAATTACAGAAAGAAGTTAAGCGAAATGAACCCCAAGATAGGGATACAAGTGTTTTTTTCTTCCTTTTTATTGTTTCTAACATATTTATAAGGTACCATGTGATTTTTTTTTGTTGCTTTGTATGTCCCTCCCCCATGGTATAACCCTTGTTTTCAGTGTATTTGATGTTGGTATAATTTGGAGAGGGGAAGGGAAAAAACAAAATGTTTAAATAGGGATACAGATTGACTCATTGCAACAATGAGATGTATAAGATGAACTTTACAATTTAGGCAGGGGGAGGTGGAGGGGGGTGTGTGTGGGGTGTAGTTGAGGAGTTGGGAGGGATGGGATGGTAGGGGAAAAACAAAGGAGGAGGCAACAATGCTCCACAGGAAATTACTCATTACCTTGCTCATGTAACTATAACCCCTCTGTACAGTATTTCACAATAAAAAAAAACATTAAAAAAACATTAAAAAACCCCTATAATTAGTTTGTGAATGACTAACAGTTTACCTAATTTTGAAAAAAAACCCAAAAAGTCATAAAGCAGTAAAAAGTGAAGAAGGATAAGGTATTTTTTGATTAAAAGAATATGTTGTGGAGGGGAAGGAAAAAAAATCGTTTAAATAGGGATACAAGTGGACCCAATGCAACAATGAGATGTACAAGTCGTTATGTTGTTATGTTGAAAAACGAACTTTACAAGTTTGGGGGGGGGGGGGGAGGATGGAGAAACAAAGGAGGAGGCAACAATGATAAGAAATGTACTCATTATCTTGCCCATGTAACCCCTCTGTATGGTATTTTCACAATAAAGTACACACACACACACACACACACACATAAAGACTATGTTGGGGTAATAAAAATAAATTAATGTTTTTCTATTTTTTTTTTTTTGGGTCCGGTTGTGGGGCCTGAACTCTGGGCCTGGGCGCTGTCCCTCAGCTCTTCAGCTCAAGGCTAGCGCTCTACCACTTGAGCCACAGCGCCACTTCCGGCTTTTTTCCTTTTGCGTATGTGGTGCTGGGAATTGAACCCAGGGCCTCAGGCATGCAAGGCAAGCGCTCTACCACTGAGCTACCTTCCCAGCCCTGTTTTTCTATTTTTAAACAAGGAAAATTGTACCAAAAATGTTAAATAAAGATTATATTAGTTAAAAATTTCTTTAAATTATTTATTCTACAACATCTGGTTAGCATTTAGTTACAATCAGTAATATAAATTTTGAGGGATATGAGTTTCAGTATAGGGTTAGGAAAACTAGCACAGTTGAATAATTTAAGTTGTATATTCAAGAATCACCTAATTTGAAACCATTTCCAACTTAATTCCTGAAATTAATATTGACTATTATATAAATTATGAGAAGCATTTGATTTCCTTAAATGATATAATGTTCAAATACAAAATATTATATTAATGTGTACATGCCTGTGTTCATGTATTGACTTATCTAGAAAAGAAAATTTAGATTGCTTAAATATATTTTAGGGTTTTTTTGTTTTTGTTTTTCTTTTCTTTGAGTGCAGAAGTAATGGAGTTTGAATGGGACCTCATGCTTGCAGGCAGGTGCTCTACTGCTGAGGTATGCCTCCAGCCCTTTTTTACACTGGTTATTTGTGAGATAGGATTTTAGTTTTGCTCAGATGGGTATGGACTTTGCTCCTCCTATTTTGTGCTTCTTAGTCACAGGTGGGATGGCAAGGGAACAACACTATACCCAAGTCCTTCCGCTTAGATGTTTTCCCCGGGTATCCTAGAACAATGATCTGCTCTTTCTCAGCCTGTGGTGTAGCTGGGATGGCTCTACACGTTGAGAAGAGGTCTCAAACACTGGTTGTGCTTACGCTAGCATAGAACTACATTCCTCCCTATTGCTGTCTCCAGAATACCTATCATTACAGTGGCCACTGGAGCCACTGGAGAAATACAATTGAATTATTTAGATCTGAGGAAAAAGCTAATGTGTGGATAATCACTGTTTTTCAGAAAGAATAGTATACTTTTTAAGGGTACTCACTTTACAGTTTTCCATTTACAGCTGCCATTTTTAGGACTACTCAATTCATTTAAATATTTAGATGGATCAGCTTTCTCCAGAACTTAGAAGAGATCTGTTGTTTCCTGCTCTTAAAAGCCATGAAGATCAAGGGAGAAATTGTATCCCCATTATTCTGATATAGTAAAACTTTGAATGCATAAGTGACTCTATGCTGCCTTTTGAATAATAGTCTGCACAATGGCATCCTATTTAAGCATGAAGTTGAAAGATTCAATAATCACTATTAGCTTCCAGTTTTTACTGTCCTGAGGACATGGTGCTATCAAAATCTTGTGAGCAAACATTACAGGAAACCAAACCCCAAATATTCTAGCCAAGCAGTGGATCATACCTGTAGCAAACATTTGCATCATATCACGAATTGTTCGTTATTTTCGTGGCATTTTCCAGCACCACTGTCTACTTTCCCAGAAGTCAACTACCGAAAATTTCATAACACCGCATACACGTTGACAATCACAGCTTTTCCATCTAGGGTGTGTTTTCTTTAAAAACAACTGTTTTGTTTTAAGCTGTATCCCAAAGCTTACAATTTTATGTTATTTTCTTTCTCTGGCTTATTGGAAAAATAATTTTATGATGATCAGAAGAGGAGACTTCAGTGCAGCCTTTTCTGTTTTGTGAAAGAACGAAACATTGTCCATATCCTCAGAAGACAACTCATATTCCTTTTATTACACCCTGAAAATTAGCCTGTTCAAACTTCCTTCAACTGCCTTTTAATTAAAGACACAGTTTAAAAAATATTTCCCAGCTCAACCCTTTGCCCCACCTTAATGAATGTATAGAAAAGGAAACGCAGTTATCTGGATTTAGAAATGGATCTTGCAAACTTTAGCGAAGAGGACAAGACAGGAAGGAAAGGGTGGAGAACGAAGGTAGAGGCTAAGGGCCAGGAGGGCTAAAACCTTGACTGATTCCTGTCTTTGTAACCTACAGTGTGTGTTGGAAAATAGTATAAACACTTCATTGGGGCTGTCTCTAAAAATGGCTCCATAGAAAATACAATATATCAAAATGGAAAAAAAATATTGCTATTTGCCTAACTAAATAGAGCATGAACTTAATGCACTTGCTTTGTGGATAATAAGTCACGCTGTGAACAATGCTATCAACTTAAGTTTTGCCCTGTGAAGCCAAGAATTCATTTACCACAATATCTAAACTATTTTTATTTCTATGATATTCTGGGATTTAGCTCCAAATGCATACTTCCGATTGAATCTCTTAGTTTCAAACAAAGGGATCTATGGTATACATAACCATCTGTTGTATACCTACCAATCTCATGACTTTGCCCATATTCATAATAAATCCTTCCCTATCTGTATCTTTTGTCTTCTCCTTTATTTCAGGGCTTTCCTGTTCTTCAACGATCTTGTTCTGTAAATTCTCTTCCATTTTCTTAAGTACATGTTTATTGCACTACTCTATGGACCAGTAGTTTTGCTAGTCTGTGATGCAACTTTGCTGAACAAAATAGACATTACCCTCAAGGAACATACACATAAGATCATCTTCCTTAAACGACCATAGCCCGTGATTGTACCTGTCCTAAGTGACAGAAATCTGTACATGTTCAGATATTCTATGAGCACACACCATCTCCTAGAGAAAACTCAGAGCCCATTTCTGCTTAACTCTTTAGATGAAAATGGTCTCCTTAAAAAGGCTTCTGAAATATGCCCAGGAATTAACACTAAGATATATTAGTTGAATATTTCTTACAAAAGTCAATCTAGTGTTGACTTGTAGTTACTTTGTAGTTCACTAGGTTGGAATTCAGGAAAGAAAGAGATGGAGTGAGAATTGTCTATAGGAACCAACCGGCTATAATCCACAACTGGCTAGTAGTGCTGCTTTCTTGAGCCCTGGGCAAGGTGTATTAGCACCACAAGGTCTAGAGGAAAGGGAGGATAGGTATGCAAACCAGAGGCATCCTGTCCGCCACAACCAAACCTTATGCTCAGTGGAATGGTTAAGTAAACGCAAGGAAGGTTATTAAAAGTTCCTTTGCTTTTTGCTAATTCCTTGTCTCTGTTTGCTCTTGATAAGCAAAGGATGCAGAGAGAACCATCATTGCTCCAAATCAACTAAAAAGAATTGTTTTCTAAATAAAATGAATATGGATACAATTAATACTTTGTCCTTAAACTTGAAAAACCTTATAGGATTTTAGTAAAAGAAATGCTCCAATCCATGGAAATGTGAATTATCTCCATCTTAAATACATTCCCTGCCTGCTTTTATGAATGTCTGTATAAGAAAGTTAACATTTCCCTTCCACAGATTTTTTAATTCAATTTTATTGTCAAAGTGATGTACAAAGGGAGTACAACCTAAGTAAAGTAGTAAATACATTTCTGACTCCTTTCCGTCAAAATTGGGTGAGAAATTCAATCATTTATATGCAATGGAACATTGTAATACTTTTGAAGTAACAGCACAGAAAAACAATTTATCTGCAGTATCTTGAAGCATCAAAGGAGGTGAGTTGTGTCCTAGTCACACACAGCACTGCAGGGTCATAAGAAAGCTATGAGTTTGGTGAGAACACTTTAGGAAAGACTTTGCTTTTAGCTCATAGTGGTTTGTGAATATGGGCAGATGCAAGGAGCACATCTGTAAATTAACTTTATACTTGAATACACTATGAAAGGCCATGAAGGGCTCCGCATTAATCACAAAACAAGACTCCCTACTTTGTGTCAATAATGATTAGCAATTCCTAGTAAGAATAATTACAAGGAGGACATGAGATACCCTGTACAAGTGAGTGCTTAACCACATCACACAACCAAGATTTGACCTGATGAGCTCATATTCTAATTCAGCCATACTAACTGCTCGGCTTTTAATACCTGAGAATCTCTTACAGGGGAAAACCATCATCCTCAGAAAGTGGAGGTGAGGAGTCTTTGAATAGCTATAGTCAAATAGAAAAGCCACCAGAGTCCCTTATTTCAAAACATCAGCAATATTCCAGGTGCCCTCTTATCTCCAGAGTCCCCATCCTCAACCTCAGATTCTTCTTTAATCCTGGATAAAATTTTTAATCCTTTAATTCCAGAATAAAAAAAAATCTGAGAGAGAGAAAGAAAGAAAGGAAGAAAGAAAGGAAGAAAGAAATAAGGAAAGAAAGAAAGAGAAGGAAGGAAAGAAAGAAGGAAAGAAAGAAAGAAGGAAAGAAAGAAAGAAAGAAAGAAGGAAAGAAAGAAAGAGAAGGAAGGAAAGAAAGAAGGAAAGAAAGAAAGAAAGAAAGAAGGAAAGAAAGAAAGAAAGAAAAAGACACTTCACAAAAGGAAAGAAGAGAGAAAGCAAACAGGAAAAGTTAAAGCAAAGAATCCGGGGAAGGTGCAGATGAGGGATTGAGGCGCTGTTGTCTGCTATTGCCTCCCTCAATATCTCTGCCCTTCTCCAGAGGTCCTAGCCCGTCCTGCCCGGCCGATTTAGGCCAGGACAGTGATCCAGAAGCAGTCTCAAGCCCGACCCTCCCAGAGTCCTCTGCCACTGACCTGCGTAGACAAAGAGCAGGACTAACTTTGGAAGCAAGACCCCTGGACGCCCGGGCGGCCGCTGCGTGTCCATCCAAGCCGCTGGCCCGACGTGGCGCGCGTCTGGGACCCACAGACTGGAGCAAAAGGAGAGCCAGGAACCAGGAGGGTTGGGGAGGAGGTGGAGGGTCAGATGGAGAGAGCGGGGTGAAGCGGGGATCGGGCCATGGTCCAGGGAGCCCTGGGTGGAGGCCTGGCCGGTGTGGGGCGTCCCGGCTGGCTGGGCCGGAGGAGGGGAGGCGTAGCAGCTCTGGCATCCGCAGCCACCCAGGCTCACATTTCATCCCTGCGGAAAAAGCAGGGGAGAGGCAGGGGACCAGGGTGTTCCGACTCCTCCCTCCGAAGCTGTGCTGGCGTCTACAAACGACAGGAGGGCACAGCCAGGCTCAGAAGAAACTTTTTTGTTTTTAACCCTGGGCCATTGGAAACTTAGTTCCTTTTGCTGTGCTCTCCTCTGCATTCCTCCACCCCCGCCCCCCTCACCTCTGCGAAGCAATGGAAGAACAACACTGCCGTTTTAATCACAAAAGAGGATTTGGGGGTTTGAAGGTAGCTCGCAGGAAGAATGACTGTGAAGAAAACCCAAGCAGAATTGAAACCCCAGCAACTGTATGGAATCTAGAGTGGAAGTAGAGAAAATCCTGATGAATTTATAGTTCAGGGGAAACAAAAGAAAAATGCACCCTGTCATCAATGTTGCTGCCTATGCAATTAGATAAGAGAAAGAAACAAGGATTTTTAAGCAATTGGAGATCAAACTCTCATTAGCAAATGGGATGTGTGTGGTGTGTGCGAAACCAAAGAGAATCAACCCTCAAAATATTAATAAAAAATTAAAAATTAAGTGTCCAGCAAAGGAAATTTTGCTTGAATGATTAGAACTGTGATGCCTTCAAGACGATAGCAGGGCACAATAAAAAAACTGAATAAGGACACTGTCTTTGAACAGATTTGCAATGATCTCCAAATTTATGGCTGAGTAACACAAGAACACATGCAGTATGGTGGCTTTTGTGCAAGAAAGGAAAGGGAAATAATGAAATCTGTACCAATCGCTGCAATTCCAATTTCTTAAGTTTCCTGTCTGCTATTTTTGATCCCACAGTCTTACCACACATGCTTTGTTTCTATCATCTCAATAAAAATAGAAACTGCTTAATTTTTGTTAAAGGATAAAAAAGAAATATCCCGGGGGCAGGGAGGGGTAAATAGAAAATAATGAAGCTAGTTGTGTCTTTTGATGTGGGTAGAAGCATACTCAACTCAACTACACAAATGAGCAAGAATGGGAAGGGAAAGAAACCAAATGATAACAACAAATGAAATAAACGAACCCAAGTGCATTTCAACTGAATTAAAATTGGGAGCAGGTTATAAAACAAACTTAAGTAAACCATGAACACAGTAATTGACTATATACACCAATCTTGGGTGGAAATAAAATGAGAATAAAATAAAAGCACAGTCTCTATTAGAGAGTTTTTGTGTGTTATAATTGTGGGTAGTTTTATGGACAAAACAGTTCTGAAACTATTTTAACTATACTATGGGGATAAACAAGTAAATGTCAAGAGTTTTAGATATGGAATGGGAGATATTAAGGAAGAGCCCAATGGTGATGGATGAAAATTAACTTGTCAGTGTCATTTTAGGATTTCCAAGTTATATTTGTATAAACACAAGTGTGTGTATGTACACAAACATGTAATTCTTTTTCCTACATTTAAAAATATATGAATGTTGATTACATAATTCATGTTTCTGGTTTCTTAAACATATATTAATTATATAATTACTGCTTTTTTCACCTTTTTGGATTAGCATACACTAATACCATGAAAAGTGTGTGTGTGCAGTCCTCACTTTGATTGTTTACCCCCTCCTTTATGGTTTCATTCTTTACCTGCCTCTTTCCCCTTTTGTCAACAGAGTTTAACAAAAGTAGGTTTCCTGTCTACACACAAACACACACACATATACACACACAGTGTATTCTGATCCTCTTCACCCTTCAGTATTCTTACCTTTCCCCTTCCCACTAACCCCTGCCAAACACATTTATTTTCTGTCTACTAAAAGACACTACTAAATAGTGTCATCTGGTGGATCTGTTGTACTCTTCATTTCTTTATATTTCTTTCTTTATTATTTCTTTATTTTTTTTTCTTGTGCAGGTGCTGAGGCTTAGACTCCAGGCCTTGGTGTGTTCCTGAGTTATTTTTAGTTCAAGTCTGGCCCTCTACCAGCTTTTTAGTGGTTCATTGGAAATCAGAATCTCACATGCTTTCCTACCCAGGCTGGCTTTGAACTATGATCCTACTGAGTAGGTAGAATTATTACAGGCATGGGCCAATAGCATCCAGGAGCTTTAATTTTTTGAGAGAAAAAATTTATTAATTTTTTTATGTGGAAAGCCTGTGTCAATTTTAAAGTGTTTCTTTTTTATTTTTGATCTCTAGATTTAAAAGTAACAGTTTATTTTCTTCCTGGTTATAGAAAAATTAAAAGTAACAGTTTATTTTCTTTTTTCCTGGTTATAGAAACATTTATCATCAGTAAAAATGTTTGTACAAATCTATTTTTTACATAAAATCTCTGCATTGTTAGTGAATACTTTAATAGGATAGCAATATATAAAATTGGCATGTAACAAGCAATAGAATGTAAGGCTACAAATCATAAATTACTAAGTTAGTGGTTCTATGGAGAGATTTACTCAGATAGTCACCATTGTTTCTAGTTGGAGACCTAATTTAAATTTACTTGTAAATTCTTTAAATTACTTTTACCTATAGCACAAGGAATGTCATAAAAAAAAAACTAATGGCATACCTCCTTGTACTAAAAAATAAACTGAAACTTATCTTCAGTGAGAAACACAAACTAAATATTGTTCATATTATGAAATATTTATCTTGTTGATCAATAAAAGAATATTTCATCCTATTGAGGGACTGGGGAGAGAAATCTTTCACCAAATTACAACGAAGCTTTCAACCTATGCTATAAAATAATGCTATAGAAATGCAAATTTTGAAAAAGGAAAATATACCACCCCTAATCCCAATTACGTTTTCTTTTTTGAAGAAGTAGGTGATACTCTAAGGTAGTCTTTTATTGCAGGTACTCACCAATCCATGTACTTAAAGCATAAGACCTGTATAGTTTTTGTGTTCTTTCCTCAGTTAACATTTCATGCTAAATATTTCTCTCATTTGTGAAGTTTTCATTCTCTTCCTCCTCAATAGCTGCCTGAGCCACCATCAGGTTGGTTCAGCATATTTTACTCACTAATCTGTACCCTTCTTACTGGTCTGTCAATTTCCATTTGGCTCCGATATAAACAGCTTTTTTATATAACCATGTAATCTTTTATGTATTTATGTGTGTATGTGTGTATGTATGTATTTCTTTATTTTTATGCTGGTATTGTGTCTTGAACTTAGGGCCTCAAGCTGTTGCTTGGGTTTTTCTGCTTAAAGCAGGTGCTCTACCACTTGAGCAATATCTCTATATACAGCTTTTTTTGGTGGTCAATTGGCGATAAGAATCTCATGGACTTTTCTGTCTAGGCTGGCTTTGAACCTTTATTCTTGGATCTTAGCCTTCTGAGTAGCCAGCCAGGATTACAGGTGTAAACTACCAGGGCCATGCTCCATGTAACCTTTTAAAAGCAAAATTATGTCTTGATCTTTCACTGATTAAAATTGTTTTATGTATTCTTTTGGGGCTTTGATTACAATTCACACTCTTTAATGAGACACAAGAAGTTCTGAATGAGTTAATTTCCACCTGTCTTCCTATCTTCTAGATCTGACCACAAAGCTTTGTTGGAAATTCCAGCAAGTACTTATTTCCGTGTCAGAAAATGTTCTATTTTTCTGTGGCAGTATTCTCTCTGATCATTACCTTCAGATCATACCTAAGTCATCATTTTCTCAAAGTTTGATTCCTTGCTTACTCTCCCTTATTCTTAACCAGAACATCATACTGGTTTAAAATAACTTTCAGGTAATTTCTGGGTACACATTAATAGTTGAGAACTGCTGGTCTAGAAAATTGCTGTCCAGTAAAAATATGTGAGCCACATATGTAATTAAAAAAATTCCACAGCCGTATTAGAAAAGAAAAAATAAATGAGAAAAATTAATTTAGTAGTGTTTTATTGATCATGATCAATCCAAAGTTTTATTTCAATATGAGAATGATATTGACAATTAGTAGTGAGACATTTTATAATGATTTCTAATACAAAAAGTTTTGAAAATCTGTGTCCATGGTACATTTACATTCCATCTCAACTGAGGTGCTGAATTTTTATCTGAGATACCTGGTCTATATTTGGATTTCATGTACAGCTGCAAAGGAAGATTTACTTACTGAAATTCCTCCTACATGCTTAAGTGTTCCAGTAATTGAAGAAGTATTTTAAGTTATTAATGTATAGTAATTGCATAAAATTGTTACATTATGCATTGCACACATATATATATTGTTCACTAGTTGTGATAATCTCTATTGTTCTTATTGTATCCACCCTTATTTTTAGTAGCTTCCAATGAATTTCCTGGTGCTCTCATCACATATAAACACAATGTGTCTTGTTATTGTTCATGCCTCATCATTACTATAATAAAATTGTTATTATTTACTTCTTAATTTAATTGTGATTACTTTTATAATCTAATTAATTTAATTAACCAAACCAATTGCTTTGTTAGTAGGTAATTTAATTAAATCATTAAAACAACTAAACTTTAAATTAATTACAATAGAATGAAATGGAAAATTTAACTCATCATTGACACTCGCCACATCTGGAGTGCCCAGCAGAGGCAGATGCTTAGTTCTGAGCTAACAGCACCCTTGTAGGAAATTATCCCAGGAGGCTGCTGAGCTGGCTTCACATCTTGAGGAAAAAACACTATTGTTGCTTCCTATCTGCCACCCATCCTGCAAAAGGAGATTTTGTATGTACCTCTACCTTCATAGCACTTCCTGCAATATTCAGTATTGAACATCAGAGTGCAGCTCAAGAAAGAGCCAATACCATCCAAGGGAGCTGTAACTGTGAAGGAGGCTAAGGAATCACATTTCTGACATTATTCTTGGGAAAGTGGTTCTCTGTAGGGGGCATATTGGCCATATGATTCTAGGAGAATACTGGGTAATAAGGAGATGGTTGGCAGTTACTCGTTGAGTGTGATTACCATGAAAGCTTCCAA